AAAATTGTTCATTGCTGAATCAAAACAGTTAGAAATTGTTCTTCATTTTTATAAAGTTTATGATCCAAGCAAGACTTTTTGTCTTTAGCGAGACCTCAGATTGATGGAAACTTTTTTTTTTGTGCCCATTGTGCTGTATTTAATTGCAATGTCATAAACTTAAACCCTCACTGTACATTCCTTATTATAGTCTTTTGTTGACTTTGCATTGAACCTGGTGCCATTTTTGGCTTCATGCTTTCTATTGTGGTACTGGGTCCTTGGTCCTGTAATATCTTTGAGGTTTGGGGGAGGGGGGATCGGTTTCTGTGTAAATCATAGCTGCTTCCACAGAAGTCCTGATCAGATGCCTCTTCATGGCCTGGAGGTGACCCTGTGTTCTCAAAGTTTGCCATTCGAATGCAAGCTCTAGCAGGCCCTCCCAAGCTAGGAAGACTTTAGATCGTGCCAGTGGTGGAGGCCATGTGTCTGCTGTTAAAGGGCCAGCCTAGCCAGAGACCAGCATGAATGTTCTTGAAGACTACCTACCCATTTGCAGAGCTTTATAAGGTGGAGGGAGCATCCACACCTACAAAATCATAGACCCTTGAAGTATTGGCATGTAGCAAATTTTTTAAATGGAAATTTACATGCGTTGTAAGGTTGGTTTTCCACATTCTCTATTTTTATCTTTATTTAGGCAGTTGGGGTTAAATGACTTGCCCAGGGTCACACAGCTAGTAAGTGTCAGGCGTTTGGTCTGAGGCCGGATTTGAACTCAGGTCCTCCTGACTTCAGGGCCAGTGCTCTATCCATTGTGCCACCTAGCTGCCCCATGCAGTCTCTGTTTTTAAAGTGGGATTAGTATAAATTATTGGCATAGAGACTGGACCTATGGTTTATTTCATTGGTATGGATAAGGAAACTCCTTCAACCAATGCAGTTAGACCCCTTCTCTGCCCAGAGCTCTGAAAGGCAAAGACTTAACCCACGGTCATTTAATAAGTGTCAGAGGCAAGAAATGAATCCAGGTCTTCCTGGCTACAAGGCTGGCTCTCTTTGCATCTCACTTTCTTATTTAGAATTGGAAATGGTGTACACCAACAAGGCAATGTCATTTTTGAAAATTTGCCTTCTTTTAATTCTGTTTTAAGAGTTTATTTCTTTTTCTCTCCCATAAGAATATCCAACTTCATTGCAATGAGAATTTCCATATCATCTAAACCCACAGAGAATTGTATTTCACAAGACCATCAATTTAGAGGGTGGTTAGATCATCTAGATCAACACCCCTCATTGGTATAGATGAGGAGATTGGGACCCAAACAAGTCAACTGACTTGTCTAAGGTCACGCAACTAGTAAGTGGAAAGAAATTCCCTGACTCTCATCAGGCAGTATGGGGTACATCTAAAGCTCAGTACACCAGGAGCACTGGACAGGCCTTTGTCTTTCCAAAAAGTTTAAACTACACTAAAATTAGATTACTCTGAAACTCTTAAGAACCAGGTCTATAATTAAGAAACTTGGCTATGCTATGGGTGTGGCAGCTGCTTTAGGCTGGGAGAGCTAACTTCCAGCATATTTAGCTGTAGTCATTTGTTAAACACTCTTATCTACGAATAGATTATCTGCCAGGACCTGAGTTTCCTCACCACCTGAAATTAGGGGTGGGGAACCTGGCCACGAAAAATTGGGATTCAGTCAAAAGGCCGCACTTAAGTACCTAGAAGGCCACATGTGGCCTTAAGGCCGCAGGTTCCCCACCCCTGATAGACAGTACGCTTTGTGGGGCCGAGCCAGTGTAGAAGTCAGTGTGGGAGGGATGAGGATAGATTTGACTACATTAGTACATTTCAAGACCAAATAGAAATTATTTTTGGATTCCCTTCTTTGATATCCCTTTTTTTTTTGTTTTTGTTTTTGTTTTTTTTTTTTTGGCTAGGCAATGGAGTTAAGTGACTTGCCCAGGGTCACACAGGTAGTAAGTGTCAAGTATCTGAAGCTGGATTTGAACTCAGGTCCTCCTAACTCCAGGGCCAGTGCTCTATCTACTGCATCACCTAGCCGCCGCCATTCTTTGATATTCTTTAAATCTTCTCCCTCCGATTAGTGCAGCTAAGCAGTTAACATAATGGTAAACCTCATTCTAGGCAGCATTTGGATATATCTATCCATTGAAGTCCACTGGATATATCTATCCATTGAGAATGGAAGGGTGGGTTCTCTCACCATCATCCCACAACATTTGTTGTGTGCATGGGTTTTAGTGTGCAGCTCTGTTGTTCAGGTTATACTCCTGTTCCGTCTTTGGAAGCCTACGATACAAAGCAGATCCTATTGGCATGGACAGTGAGACTTAAAAGCAGTGAGCTAGAGAAATGAAGAATTAACATCAGAAATGCGTACTTGGCACTGTGTCTTACTCAAGTCTGGATGACACGGTTATATTGGTAGAGTGGATTCATATGTGAGTTTTAAGAGAAAATTGTGTATTTTGAATGAAAAGTGCATGCAGGTAGATGCCACTGTGTAGTTATATCATTTATCTATGTTTGGTTTTTTATACATACATACATACATACATACATACATACTGTTTGGGAACAGCCATCGATCAGTAGGTGAACTAACACTTCCACAAACCTTACAGAGCCATAGAAAGCCCAGCTGTTCTTACTAATAACAATAAGAAGACATGCAGTGGTATTTCTAAGTATTGGTTGCTATGGAATGGTTATAAACATTATATGTAGATATGGTCAGCCAGCCTCTGCTTGATTCCTGTTTCTAGGGATAGGGAGGCAGTTTGTTGTTGGGGAAGGAGCCCTGAATGGCAAGCTTACGGAACTGCCCTGAGACTATAAAACTGGACGTTGGACTTGGTTTTTATGGTCCCTTTAAGCTCCAGTGTTCCATGATTCTGCTTCATGAGACAAGCCATTCTCATTGGTGCCTTCGTTATTAGAATGTTCTTAACTTATATCCAAACAGAATCTGCCTTCCTGTTATGTATGTGGTGTCTTCGGACGGCATTCTGTTTTCTGGACGCATACAGAATAGTCCTTTCACCCTGTGAGAGCCCTTCAACAAACGATCAGAGATAGCCCCCTCCTCTTAGCCTTCTCTTTTCAGTGTGAAACGTCTCTGGTTCCTTGGAGACAACTAGCTGGCACAGTGGATCAAGTGCTAGGTCTGGAGTCAGAAAGACCCAAGTTCAAATTTGGCTTCACGTACTTCCTAGCTGTGTGACCCTGGGCAAGTCATTTAACCTCTGTCTGCTTCAGTTCTCTCAGCTGTAAAATGGGGATAATAATAGAATCTACCCTCCCAGGGTTGTTGTGAGGATCAAATGAGGTAATATTTGTAAAGCACTTAGTAGGTGCTTAATAAATGCTTATTTCCTGCTTTCCTTCTTCCTTCCCTCCCTCCCTTCCTTCCTTCCTTCTTTTCTCCATTTCCTCTTCCTTACGCCATTTTTTTTCCCCTAATGTGTATTCAAAACAATTCACCATCCAGTTTGCCATCCTCAAAATATTCCACTTTGTCAATGTTCTTAAAATGTAGCACTCGGAATTAATTACAGCACTATGGACGTCAGACTGTACCTCCCATGGTTTGGATATCCTACCAGTATTCACGTAGCCTATGATTGCATTAGCTTTTTTCCTTTTTTTTTTTTTTTAAGTAGTTGCATCACACTATTGCTTCATACTGAGCTGTCAGCCAATTATGTGTCATTTACATCTTTAATAAGTGAACCTTCCATATCTCAATCCTGATGATTGTTAAAAATGTAGAACCTGGACAGAGTCAAGAGCAGATAACCAGAATAATCCCTACATTATCCTGAGATTACTCAGTGCTCTTTGGGTACAGTTCTTCATCCCACTCAATATTTAAGTACAGCCCACGTTTCCATTTTTATCCACAAGATAGACCTTAAGAGATTTTTGTCAAATGCTAAAAATCAAGACCACTTTACATATTATATCATTTAATCTTCACAATCACCCTGGGAGGTAGGTGCTGTTAGTATTCTATTATTTTATAGATGAAGGGTTAAGGGACTTTTCCAGGGTCACATTAGTAATGGCAATCACCACTATCATCTAATAAGTGTCTGAAGCTGTATTTGAACTCAGATCTTATCTCCAGGCTCAGTGCTTTATCCACTGGGCCATCTAGCTGCTGCTTCCACACCTCAATTTAATTGGAAATAGGGGGATCTGCAAAGATTCTATTTGAGTTATCCATGTATTTTTAGAATCATGTTGTCCATACTTCTTTGGCCTTCTAATTTTTGTTGACCTCGCTCAAAAAGTGTATCTTAGGACAATGTGTCTAATAGTTATTTATGGAGCTAAAGCTTTTAAGCTTTTTTGAAAAATTGTCTCTCCCTCTCACTGCTTTCCCCCCAACCCCATTGAACATAACAAACAAACAAAAGCCCTCACAGCAAATATGCATAGTCCAGCAAAACAAATTCCCATACTGGCCAGGTCAAATCCTGGATTTTAAGTCCCTCACATCTCTGGCAGGAAGGGGGTGGTGTGATTCATCTTCAGTACTCTGGACTCAGGGTTTATCATTGCATTAACCAAAAGTGCTAAAGTCTTGCAAAGTTGATTTTCTCGAAAATGCCGTAATACAAATTGTTCTCATAATTCTGCTCATTTTATCTGCATCGGATTATAGATGTCTTCCTACTTTCTTCTGAAACTATTCAAAATAATAGTCCATTACATTCATATACCACAATATATTTAGCCCTTCTCCAAAAGGTTGGCACCATCTCAGTTTTCCATTTTGGGGATCCTACAAAAACATTTGCTATATATAAGGGCCTTTTCCCTCTTACTTTGAACTCTGGGGGTATAGTACTGGGGGTCAAAGGTATGTATAGTTTAGCAACTTGGGGATGTAGTTCCAAATATCAAACTTGTTTTTAAAAAATCAGTGTTTTTCTTCTGATTCTCATGTTTTTTTTGTTAACACAATCCTTTTTTCCCCCTCAAATAGTCATATCCGTCTAATTTCATGGAACATATGAAGCCCAGCAAATACAGTGTCATTTATTCTGCACCGAACATGTTACACAATAAATTCTACCCGACCTCAGAAGGCCTTAGTTCTAATGGAATCCAGATGGAACCAGTTGATCTCACAGTGAACAAGCGAAGTTCCCCACCTTCGGCCGGAAGTTCACCTTCCCCACTGAAATTTCAGACTTCTCATAGGCGAGCCTCACCTGGATTAACTATGCCTTCACCTAGCCCACCTATGAAAAAGTTCACCCCACCTCCGCCTGGCGTACAGCCCTTCAGTGTGCCACTGTCAATCCCTCCAGTGATGGCGGCTCTTTCTAGACACGGCATTCGAAGCCCTGGAATCCTTCCAGTTATACAGCCGGTTGTTGTACAACCTGTACCTTTCATGTACGCAAGCCACCTTCAGCAGCCTATAATGGTGTCTACTGTTCTAGCAGATGAATTGGAAAATACAAGTAGCATGCAAGGTAAGACCTGCTCGTGACATAGGATGCTGTGGGCCCATCCTGGCCAGTAACTTGTAGACTTGAGGTACACATCTGAGAAAGAGAAATGCTGGATAAGGAAGAAAAGGACCCAGAAACAGTTGAAGCATTGGTAGACTTCATCTAAAATGTGTAAAAGATATTTTTGTTAAAGTGTTGATGGTGGAAAGCCTAATGAAACACAGCAACATGGCCTCTGGTGCAATGGAAGATGTAATTACTGAGATTATTGGGGACCATGGCTATGAATTGCTCTCCAAAATGGACAGCTCCGTGTGCATGTAGGCATTTAATGTAAAGCCAGTAGTCATTTTTTAAATACCTTTTAAAAAGTAGGGAATTGTCAGAATAACTGTGCACATGTTTACATCCTTTATCCATCAGCTGGTAAATGGCAGGAGGCTTGAAGGTGGATGGGATATTTTCAAAACCTTTGGATGCCTCTTTCTGGCAAAATAATTAGTCACTGAAATACATGTTTCAGTGAGATTTTTACCCAGTACTTCATTCTTTCTGTCATTTTTGTGATAGGCAAGTAGATCATTGGTTTAGAAATAGTGGCTATTCAAAAAGTGTTTTCACAGTAAGACTGGTAAATTTTCATTATTCAACAAGGGCATTTAAATTGATTTCACTTTTTCTTTTCTCCCCATCCAGTACCTGTAATTGAATCATATGAGAAGCCTATTTTACAGAAAAAAATAAAAATAGAGCCTGGGATTGAACCACAGAGGACAGATTATTACCCTGAAGAAATGTCACCCCCACTAATGAACTCAGTATCCCCTCCACAAGTTGCAATGTTGCAAGAGTAAGTATATTTGGGTCTGCCTGTCATTTGCACAAAACCATTTGCCATCAGGTGTCAGAGGACATGCCAGCAGCAGAACCTATCAGTCCTAATAGGATAATATGGTGTTCAATAGCCAGGAATGGATTTTGGGGGCTGTATCTTGTGTCTGACTACAAATTAAAGGAATCCTACAAATAGGCTAAGTAAATAATGACAACAATTACAAATCAAAGAACCTGGAGGGATTTCCAATCTAGAGGTTCCATCTTTTGTCATTGGAGCCCCATTCTAACATGTTGCTCTTTGAGTCAGCTGGGGATATGTAATTAAGTTCAGCATGTAGTTTTATACTAAGAGAACAAGACTGCAGCCTCTAATATACTTTCCACCTTTGTCTCCCCTGTGTCCCCCTTTCTATTTCATTCTCTACTTTTATTAAGCCATTTTTCAGAACAAGGAGATCCTTGTTTTTAACACCAGAATTTTTCAGATTCAAAAGACTGCAGTGTTTCCTAGTAGATCTAATGTGTTCAGTCATATTCACAATAAATTATGCTTTGATCATTACAAACTAGATAAACCTCAGCTTTCTTATTTTAGTTGTATGAACATGAACTCTCATCAGTTAAGAGGAGAAAACGATTTTTTGGTGGTACTTTATGCAAAAACTTTTTTTTTTTTTAATGAGAAAGGGTTCATATGTTTCACCAAGACTGTCATGACTGTCCATGATGATTCAAAAGGCAAGTGCATAACTAGCTAAATAGTTATTATTGTGGATTTTATTTAAAATTTTTAATTTTAAAAAGCTATTTTGAAAATAGTGCCCCATACTTTCTGGATCTCATATTTAAAATTGAATGGACTTAGGAGGCCATTTAGTTAAAATCCCTCATTTTATTGAGGAGTGCTTTCATCACTCAGGAAGTAAATAGCAGAGTTGGATTCTAACCCAGGTCCCTAACTCCAACTGTACCACAACTTGCAAATAAACTTTTATTTCTGTTCTTTAAAATCTCTAATCGATGTTGATTTTTATTGTTTAATATATTATTTTATTATTTATTATTAATTTTTTTATTACTATTTGCATCTTTCAGTGACCCCTTCACTAAATATTTGCAAACCTTTAAGTGTGATATAAATGAGTGATTTTTATACTTTGTGGTACTTCATAATGATGAAATACTGGTTTTTAACACTACCAGAAACTGAAATTACCAGTTAAATTACTATATAAATGAGTGGTTGTACTTTGCATTACTTTGTATACACTACCAAAAGCTTATTAACAAATCAGTCTCCCACCACTTGGATGGTGTGCTGCCGGATGAGTGTTGTTCACACGCACATGTGATTAAGTCAAGCCTTGGAACATAACCAGTGGTATCCCACATAGTAAACCAGCTAGCCAGGAAAGAATCACTTGTAACCCTCAGCCTATAGCTTAATAGCATTGCTTCAAACAGTTCCACTGATATTTCCATTATGTATTCCTTACTCTGGAGGCATTGAATAAGACTTCAAAACTAATTTCTTTGAAGAATGGCATGCTGACATGGCATGCTTTAGAATGCTTTAGGTTTTTTGTTTTGTTTTTTAAGCTGTACTTAAAGTATACGGGAAGATAATTTTTGTGTGAGAGTTCATTTTCATACATATGCATCCATATTGGGAAGGAAAAATTTTAGGGGATGGAATGTCTTGCCTTTTTTTTTTTTTTCTTGAATTTTTTTTTTTTTTTACTCTAGCAAACTTAAGTAAAGACAGCTTAGAAAATGCAGTTAAGAAATTTATCCTGGGGCAGCTAGGTGGTGAAGTGGATAGAGCACTGCCCCTGAAATCAGGAGGACCTGAGTTCAAATCCAGCCTCAGACTAAACACTTGACACATAAGCTGTGAGACTATGGGCAAGTCACTTGACCCCAATTGCCTAAAACAAAAAAACAAAACAAAAAAACCCAAAATTTATCCTGAAACAGAGCTTAATGATTGCCACCTTTTCCAATAGCTACCCCAAGATCCCATCTTAAGAATAGGAAGCTAAGAGTCAGAAATGAGAGTACCAAACCCTCACACATGTCTTCAGAAGCACAGCCTGGGATTTGGGGAAAGAGCTCACCAGCAAGTGAGTCCCCATTCTTCTGGCTTTTAAAAAAGCTCTGAGAATACCAACTCAGAGAGTGATTCTCACGTAAGGTTTTGGCATACCCTTATCTCTGATATCCTCAAGAGGGCTTTTAGCTTGTTTTTAATTCTCAAAGCAGTTTTTAAAAATTTATCAGTAGTAGATTGTTAGCGTTAAAGAGTGGTAGGAATAATCTACTTCCTTCAAAGCATAAAATTAGCTGCTAAAAAGTGGGGAAAGGGTCATTGTTGAATCTGAGGTACATGAAGCCACTAACAATAGTTAATATTAGCTTACAGATGTGAAATATTTAAATATCGATTCATGAAATTAAAAGACACATTTAACTCTTCCAAAGGTTTTTGACTTTTCTTTTTGTCTTAATGGAAAATGAAGTATTATGTTGAAATATAAAACATCATAAAGGCTGTAAAGGCCCCCCCCCCCCCCCCAAAAAAAAACATAAAAAGATTTCTCTTTAACTGCCCTTCTCCCTCCACCTCAGTTGGCCATACTAGTTCACATACTATCTGTCCTCTGCTTAAATTATTGTTGATGTCAATCCTAGCACTTTTTTGGAAGGATCATAATCTGTTATAATTCACAAACAGATTATAATTGTTGGGGGTATTTTTCATAAACGGGTGAATATATGCTCTATATAAGTTCCCCCATATGAAACTTAAATTCAGAAATAAAAGTATAGATATAGGTGGGAACTGCACTTTAAAAAAATTTGATTTATTTTCTTGATACATTTTAAGTTCTAAACTGTCTCCCTTCCCACCTTCTATCACCCCCCCCCCACACACACACACACACACAAAACCATCCTATTTGGCATTTCTTTCTCTGGAGGTAGATAACATCTTCTTTCATAGGTCCTTTGTCGCAGTTATTCTTCGAACAAAATTACTGTCACTGTATACAGTGTTCCCTAGGTTCTGCTTGTTTTCACTTTTCTTTATTTCATGCAAGTCTTTCCATGTTATCCTAAAGTCAGTCTGCCTATCATTTCTTACAGCACTAGTATTACATCACAATCATTTACCTCAGTTTGTTCACTTTTTTAAAAAAAGAAATATTGTTGGGGCAGCTAGGTGGCTCTGTGTGTAGAGCACAGGCCTTGGAGTCAGGAGGACCTGATTTCAAATGTGACCTCAGACATATAACACTCACTAGCTGTGTGACCCTGGGCAAGTCACTTAACCCCAATTGCCTCACCAAAAAAGAAAAAACAAAACAACCGAAAAAAAGAAATATTGTTGCATTTCAAGCTGAGTCACATGGGTAATACACATAGGGTAGCAAGGTGGCGCAGTGGATAGAGCACTAGACCTGGAGTCAGGAGGACCTGAGTTCAAATTTGGCCTCAGACACTTAGGAACTTTGTGACCCTGGGCAAGTCACTTAACCTTTGAGGCATTTATTTGTAAAAAGGAATAATAATACCACTTACCTCTCAGGGTTGTTTTGAGGATCAGATGAGATAATAATTGTAAACCATTTGGCATAGTGCCTGGCACATAAGTAGGCGTGTTACCAATGTTAGCTGTTATCATTTATTGTTATCATTATAGGTCAACATGATTAGAAGAGCGAATTTTTAGGTAATATACTCCCCAAACAGCATCATCCAACTATTGATTTTTAAGAGGTGACATTTTTCTCTGTAAAGATTTGCTCTAAGTAAGCATAAAGGAAAAATTATGCCATTGGAGTGGAAGTGTCTGGTTTGATTTCTCATCTCTTTACGCATGAACTAATTGCATTTTCACCACAATGTAATAGAAGCTTAATAAATGTTGATTTGAAATTCATCCAGTTTCCCTTCTTCCTCCATTCTCCTTCCTTCCGTAGGTAATTCTCATCTATACCCTGATCTTTTCTTATAGAATATCCCCTCTCCAGTTGTAACTCGAACCAGTTTTATTCCTGAGCCCCTGATTCATTTCTTAAATATTCATTGAACACCCACTTACTATAGGGCCTCGGGGAGCAAAGAAGATAGGTATGATCCCTGCCCTCAAGGAGCATATAGTATAGTAGGAGAAAATAAGATACAGAATACAAATGACTGTAATGTAGAATGTGATTAAGTTCGTGAGACAGGTCCCAAGGTGGGCTGGAGGCAGAGAAAAAGAAGCTTCAAGAGATCAGAAGATCAAGGGTCATCCCAAGGGGTCTACTTAGTTTAGGGACTTTTTTTTTTCCTTTTGTACTCATTTTTTTCCTTTCTATAAATACAAAAGCATTCTGCTAGGGACAAGTTGAGACTTATTGACATTTCACTGTCTGTGTCATCAGTTATAAAAATGAATAAGTTTTTTATTGAAATTGGAGCCAGATGCTGTATAAGCGTGTGATTTTTTAAATTAAAAGGTAAAAAAGTATCAAGTGTACATATATGAACCGTGGATTAATCTCAGTCCTTAGAAAAATACGTTTAAAAAATTAGCTAAACTGTTAATCTGGGTTTCAACTTTTTCTTAAGCCATAGGGAAAACGTCCCTTAATATTCCTAATGAATAGCTGCTGTTTTTATAGTGTTTTAAAGTTTACAAAGCCCTTTACTCAACGGGAGCTTATTTGAACACTTATAAACAACTAATGTGTGCAGAATGCTAGAGATGCAAAAAGTTAAAACCAAAAGATTACTGACAGTAATGAGTATTATTAATGATGCTACTTCAAAGTCCCATTTGAGACAGGTAGGGATTCACAGGAATATATATACCTGTGGGGTTAAAAGCCAGCTATTGCTGTTCGTGAAGGTGGAAAGCCAACTTCAGATATCCTGTGGGCGGGATAGCCCCCGAACTCTTCTTTTAGGAGTTGATGCCTGGGGTAAAGGGAGACCATGCCCGCCTGCCAACACTAAACAGGAAATTCTCAGCTACTCTATGAGGAGTGGCAGTGACCCTAAAGCCTTTTCTTTGTGAAGACAAAGGAATGATTACTTTAATGATACAGAAAAGCTATTATTTAAAAATTAAAAGCAAATTTTCTTTTATTAGACACCACTCCCCTTCCAGTCTCCCCCCCCCCCTCCCCCCCCCCCCCCCCCCCCCAAGGTAAATCTTAAACTATAGTTGCTTGAGACAGGAATTTGGCCTATGGTTTTATTTAGTACAAGTAAACTAAACTCAAGGCAGCTTATGAAAAGTATCTAATCATTTTGCTTCTGTGATAAAATGCTATAAGTGGACAGAACTAAAAAAGGTCATTGCAGGTGTTTATTAGTAAACATAAATTAACTGGCATAGAATGAAGGACACAAGGTTAGACTTTTTGTCTGGAATTTTAAGATTTATTAAATTAACTTTTAACAGGAACCACCCTTCAGTCATAGTACAGCCTGGAAAGAGACCTTTACCAGTGGAGTCTCCAGATACGCAAAGAAAACGCAGGATACACAGATGCGATTATGAGGGATGCAACAAAGTCTACACTAAGAGCTCTCACCTGAAAGCCCACAGAAGAACACATACAGGTACGAGTATGTACAGGGCCACTTTATTTTCCTTTGAAGAAGGACTTGACCAGAGTAACCTAGTTACAGCTTTTAGCTTCTGTTTGAGCTTTGGGGAAAGAGTTGATTATAGTGGTAATCTAAAGGCATCGTATCAAACTGGAACTCTGGAGCTATCGTCTTGACCTTGAAAGATCTGTCAAAATAATTAAACAGAATATCAAAACGAGAATAAGAATAATAGCATTTATATAATAACACTGTAACGTTTGCAAAGTACTTTACAAATGTTCCCTACCTAATTTGATCCTTACAACAAACCCTGGGAGGTAGATGCTATTATTATCCCCATTTATAGTTGTGAGGAAACTGAGGCAGGCAGCGGTTAAGGGACTTGAGTCTACAGCTTGATCTATTGTCCATGTAGCAACAAAGATGATGAGGAAAATTTTGAATTTGGAGTTATGAAGTGGGAAAGAGGTTGTTTGTTTTTTCATTTTTTTTTTTTTAATACATGCGACAGGGAAGTAATTGTCAATTTAATAGAATTGGGACTCTTAGCAATGGATCCCATTTTGAGTCATTACTGATCAGGGAAGGTCGGGAAAACATCCAACTGATTGATTGTATCCATTCCCGGATCCCTAGCACTGGGGTTCTAGGAAGTGTTGCCCTGTCTGCATAGTGTTTAAAGTCCACAATACTCTAGGAGCAGCCCTTAGGACCTTCTTGAACACTTGCCTTTTAGGGAAACAAAGCATGAACAGAGGTCATGGGCAGGCATCATGGTATAATGCAAACAATCTTGGATTGGGATTCAGGGAACTCCAGTTCTGATCCTGGTCTTGTCACAGTTCTAGTTGCTTGACCTTGGCACATGACTTCTAAACTCATGACCCAATTGGGGGGTGGGGGGGTGGCATCAGATGACCCCTGAGGTCACTTTGAACATTTAGAATTCCTCTTGGCAGTTAATGTTTATACTTTTAGAATTTTCTCGATTTAAGGTACTGGATGAGGCACATTTCACTTCAGAATTAGTAAAGGAGATGTGTGAGTTTTTGGTGAGTCCTTCAGATTGAAAAGAGATTTGGTTTATCTAATGATCCAGACCTAGAAAAGCCCATCAATGTTTTAATTGGCATATCTCAAAACAGTAATAGTCATTTAAGTCTGGACCTTAGAAATAATTTAGTCCGGGGGTGGGGAACCTGTGGCCGGAGGCCACTGTGGCCCTCCAGATCTAGGTCCTCGGGTGCAGCTCTTTGACAGGGTGGCCTCAAGGCCACAGGTTCCCCACTCCGGATTTAGTCCAATTCTCTCCTCGTCTTTCCTGATGAGGAAACTGAAGCCCAAAGAGGTTGTTACTTTGTCCAAGATCAGCCAGGTCACAGGAAATATAAGTATCAGGGCATGTATTTGAACCCAGGTTTTTCTAATGCTAAATTCCGTGCTCTTTCCACTATACCACATTGGCCCTCAAATAAGCTTAAGAATCTGAATCAAGTGTATTTATCAGTTGGAGCAAATACTCATACTTTCTGGGAGAGGATAGACCCCCAAACCTGCTGCGGCTTGTGGAGGCCTCCAGAGCACTTGTTCAGTCCTGCCTTTTGTTTTAGCAATAACTTTTTAAATCCTATTTCTTGGCACAGATTCAGTTAAACATTAGAGAATGAATTCATTTGCCCATCCTTCTAAGGAACTGTGTTTTAAAATACTCTATGGGGAAATGGCCTGGAAGCAATATTCACTAAACCTTGCAGTAGAAGTGTTAAGCTGTCTTTGGCTGTGTTGTCAATTACATCATCATCAACATCATCATCATCATCATCATCGTTATTATTATTTTAAATAGTGATGTTCCCTTTTTTGTTTTGCAGGAGAAAAACCCTACAAATGCACATGGGAGGGATGCACGTGGAAATTTGCTCGGTCTGATGAACTAACGAGGCATTTTCGAAAACATACTGGGATTAAACCTTTCCAGTGCCCAGACTGTGACCGAAGCTTCTCTCGCTCTGATCACCTTGCTCTACATAGGAAACGCCACATGCTAGTCTGAACACATCCATCTCCTGGATCAACTCCCTTTTCTCCCACCTCTCACCATCTCCCTCCCTTTCTCTAACTCATTTTTTTACATGTACATTTTAATTTTGATTCAGCTGGTCTGAATCACTGAGTTTATACCATTAAAAACTTCCACATGGTCAGTAATAGACGGTATCTAACCCTCCTTTGTCCTTACCACGGGTCAGACCTAAAGAATGTGAACACTTTTTTTTTTCCTGGGGATGCTAAGCAAACCCTTCCTCTATAGACATGTTTAATGTACTACAAATAAGGGAATGTGTAAATTAACATAGCCATTTGTCGGTTTCTCCATGTATTCAGTCATCATATATAGACAAACCAGTAAATGTATTAGAAATACGATATCCAGACTGCTAGTTCTTGCCAGAGATCTTCATGTTTATGTGCCCTAGAATCTTATTTGATGCTCAGCATTGGAAAGAATGGAACCTTCCTGACCTGGGTTCACTGTGCAAGATGAGATGCTAATACGGTCGACTCTTCATTATTTGTTGGATTTATCATCTCATCTACATTGTGTTCTTTGACAGTGTTCATTGTCTCAACCTCCTGTATTCAGCCCAGTCAAAAATGTTTTAAAAATGGGCAGATGAGCTAGTGCTGCTCACTCAGTCTGGGGCATCAGTCCTAGAGAATGCCCTCTGTGTCCACCATAAAGTGGGGAGCAAGGAGGAGTTGAGCAGGGGTGAGGATTGGGGGGAGACCAGAAGGTCTGGATAACCTGGTGTCAAGACTGCCTCTCTGACATTATTATTTTAGTTGAAATGCTTCAAATCTCCAGAACATCAGACACACTAACATAAGCATGCTTCTAGCACGGGCCGGTGTGCTGGCACACTCTGGGAAAGCATTTTCTTATCAGCCCTTGTTTCCTCTCATGGCAAAGGTAAATGAGAATGCTCTCCCACTTCCTCACCCCTGCCCTGGGGTCTTCCAACATGCTCAACCCATATTTCATGCGTGCCTGTGCACATTCGTACCATGATAAAGCACCAACCACCTAAATTCTTGAACATTGGGTCATCCGTGCAACCATATGGATGAATAATTGAAGAGTTGATTGGGGTAACTGCAAAAAAATAACCTTCCTTAGTTTAGTAATCTTTCGGGTTCCAGATGGCATCTTCTTGTATCTGTGCATAGCTTTTAAACATTGAAATATTTAAAAACAATATTCCCATAACCTTATAGGTTACACATACTTATGCAGAAACTAGATTCCGCATGAGCTATAATGTGCCAACTTGGCTCTCATCTGTGTTTATAATAAGCATCCTAAAGAAGCATCTGTTAATGCTTTGGTAGATTCATTCAATTTAAGACCTCTAAGTGACACTTTGTAAATATAACTAGTTAATACGAAGCACACACACACACACATACACACACACATATACCATACTTCTGTAACGGATTTCCAAATAATTTAGCAAACCACCATTCAGGGATTCATGTGTGTCAATTCACGATTGTTCCCATTCATGAGTAGCATACTCAGAGATTCCCAACAGGATGACTGGAACAAACAAGATTGCATCCATCCTAGGTATCCTAACCATGAGTTGAACGGACCAAAGTCACGATCCCTGTTTCAATTGGAATTGAAATAAGCAGCACCGATCCCATTCTTCCTCAAAAGCTGGCTTTTGAGCAGTACTGTTACAACTCTGGGATGTTTGGGAGTATAAATATCATGTTCTAATTTGGCAGGTAGGGGCACCCAGGACTAAAAGTGGGCGCCTATGATCAAATATGTTGCCGTTCTTTGGCAGAAGTAGGGAGAAGAGAGGAGCAAATGAAAAATTTGTCCCTTGGTACCATTCAACTAATATTGTAAAAAAAAAAAAAAGTGTAACTTGGGTTCAGTAATGACCGAAAGAGGGCTTGTGTAAATTTGCCATCTTGAAGATTCCATCACCTTTTGAATCCTGGATGAATTACGTAGAACAGCCAGTTGTGATGGTAATAAACTAAGCATCTGGAAATCAAGTCATTTTCCAAGAAGTCAAATATGGAATAGTTGTGTGTTTTTCAAATCTCTATACCCAGTTTCTCCAGCATTGATGACCCACCTGATGAGTAAAATTACTATATTTTGGTTGATGAGATGTTATGGGAATGAATATATTATCTTGGCTTATCTGAATTATTTTGGGGTTTTTTTCCTAAGTAGTACGGAATTTGGTTCAGTTTATTAATTAAAATATGAATTCAAAATTCGATTCCTTCCTCCTTTCCCCACTCCCTCCCTTACATCCCCCCCCCAAAAAAACCACGAAGAGGTTTGTTGTCATGTGCATGATAACCACACTCAAGCCAGAGCACCAGCTTGAATTGCAGTTACGCCAAGAACCAAGATGGAATGGAATACAAAGGGCTCATGTGACCAAATGAACATAATTTGTGTTGTTCCGCCCTCAGAGGCAACCTGTATGATTTTGTTACTTGTATGGGTCTGTATAATAGAATGGGGTACACTGAAATTTGTGGTTTGCCTATTTGGCATACTTAAATTATGTTAGAAATAGTGAACACAAGCTTTCAGAGGTAATCATCAATGCTTTTAATTTGTTTAGCATCGGTTTGTTTCAGTAATAAAGAGCCATCAACAAACAACTTTAAAAGGAAAGTAACCCTGAGACATGATAGGTGTTCCCATGTTACTCTCTGTATCTTTAGTTTAATATTTGGCCTTTTACCAAATTCTCCTTTATAAATACTATATTTTAGTATCATAGATGAAAATTCTAGTCTCTTAGCAATTTTTAGCAGTTCATTGTGGAAGGACTCAAATACAGCATAATCTTGAAATGCCCTTAAAAATATTTTTCTGTCATATACCCTATTATTCTCAATGGTGGTTTTAGTAACAACATCCTTAATCAACTATAATTGTTTGTACACAGGGAATTTTTTTTTACATTCCATTTGCTGTAGGATTTCTCGAATTAAGTGTCATGGGGAAGAAATCAGGAAATTGACATTAAATCTGTCTTACATTAGAGTTTTTAAATGTGAATCTACATCTTCAATGGGCATTAACTTTCTAATGGACTTGGGTTGGGGAATGTATTAGCAGAATAGCTACTACATACAACTAAGGAGATGCTACATTAGCAGAAGGTTCTCTAGAGCCTTGAAACAGATTCATAGGAGAACTAGAGGTATATTTTTTAAAATGAAACACTGATCTGCACTATCAGTATTGCACTAATAAGGAATTTTAGATGATTTTGCTGATACTGTATAGCCCTATGTGTCATTTGTGATCAGTTTATTTTTAAAGACAATCTCTTCAAGGGAAGCAGGTTGGGCAGTGATTTGGTTTGTTTAAAAAATATACCATAGTTCTTGATTAATCCCTGGAGTACATAAAGTTGGTCAGAATATGTTGTCTTCTTTTTCCTTTCAGTCAAGGTTAACAACTTCTAAAATGACTGAAAATTCTTTCTAAAGTAAAGCCATTTTACACCTATTAAATGAGGGCTACAACAATGTTATGTTTTACAAATACTAGCACTTTTTGTTTTCTCAGCTATTTATGTACTTAATGTTAGAGGGTCAAAATAGTCTTTCTGCTTAGCATCTCTTAAACCATACCTGCCAATATAGCAGGATTATTACATTTACAGTACTTTAATACTTGTGTAAACTATGCAGAAATTTTTAATAAAGTGTAATATATTTTATAAGCTAATAAGACTGAATGGGTAAAAGGTTTTTAGCATGCATTAGTATAACTTGCAAATACTGAAACATTTTGGTAATCTTTCTTACTAAAGATGTGAATGTTTAATGTACCTTCACTGTTTCTACTTTGGTAGTCCAATGGGAATTCAGTAATGACATTTTGTCATGTCAAACTGTGAACATAAATTTGTACTGTACAGTCCTCATATACTATATACCATATGCAATATATGTATTATAAACTTGTTAATAAAACCATCTGAATATTAAATGTGATCACATGATTATTACGTATGACCCACAGAGATCAGAGTGGGTGAAAGACACTTCCTGAAAGGGAAAAAAATCTGGTCCACTGCTGGAGACCTTCCCTTGCTTACACAATTGGTTACATAGGTAGAGAAAGGCAGCAAAACAGATAAAGTAGAAAAGAGTTTTGTAAGTAATCGTGTAATAAGTAATAAATTTCATAAGTAATAATAGCGATCATTAATATGGCATCTATTATGTGCCAGGTATTTTACAAATACTTCATTTGACCCTCACAACCCTGGAAGGTAGATGTTATGATTAAGTGATTTGCCTAGGGCCATAGCTATTAAGTGTCTGAGGTTGAATCTGAACTTGGACCTTCCCCTGGCTCTCGGCCTCACATTGTAGCCACTGTTCCACCTGCCTGCCTTTAGATAGAGGATCTGGATTCAAAGTCCTGATGCGCTACCTGTCTGTGACTTTTGTAACAACCTGTGCGTCAGTGGACTTTGGTTTCTTTTCTGCTTAAACTGTGGTTGTGTTTGGATGGCAAACATTCTTCCCAATATTTTACCGGCATATTCTCTAACCCTGTCCCAGAGAGACACTTTTTGGACCAGCAACATTGAAGCCTGGATAGATGCTCGCTGGCTCCTTAGATGAGTAACTTGGTATTGTTTTTCAAACTTTTTTTTTTCTTAATTGGAACTAAGATATTGTCCCCCTAAGGGTCTTAACCTACTTAACTTCAGTTGAAGCTACATCTCTGGAAAGCAGAAATAGGATTTTTAAGAAATGAACTCATTGACATTTTGTTCCAGCCATACATTAAAGGTAGGTGGGAGGCATAAAAAATCTCTAAGGTAAATGGGGCAGAACTAATTGGGTGAAGAGAAAAGATGCTGGGAAGGTATGAGGTGAGGGCACATACACATAGTGTTCAGGTGAGAACCATTGTGAATTTCACACATTGCAGATCTGCATTTGTACGAGGGCAAGGAAGATAAAGTACTGTAGTGTAGATGACTGCCTGCAGTGGAGAGGAAAGATTGTGCTTGGGCAGAGATGCAGTTTACCCTGTTAGTGTTAGTTATAGCAGAGATAGGTGTGGGTATATTCTATAAACTGTAGATCGCTGGTAGAGTGATCTTTTCCTTAAAAGATGTACATTAAGAACAATGGTAAACAGTAGAAAACAGAAGTTCTATCATAGGTTTGTGGGATTTTTTTTTTTAATAGCTGAAGCATTTACTACATACTAGCTATGTAGTGCTAAACCCTGAGAGTACAAATACAAGCAAGATAGCTCTTGACCGCGAGGAACTTGCATTCTAGTCAAAGGATGTAATAAATACATAAAGGAGAGCTGGATAGGGGAAGGAGGGTCAATGTGAGTAGCACTGATTTAGAGCTGATGGCAGGGAAGGGAGGTAGAGTCCAAATTTCCAGTGGGGATGAAGGCCAGAGTGAAAGTGGCATCTTTAATCTATATGTAAAGTATACGGTGCAATCCTGGAAATAGTTGAAGAGGGACAGATAGGTAACATCTGATATGACCTTGGAATGGCAGAAAGGAAGAGAGAAGGGAGACATGTTATGAATTAATTATCAGAAAAAGCAGTGTAATCAAGTGGAAAGAAGTGGTGCTCTAATTACTTGGGAAAGTTTGGAGTAGGGAGGGGGAAACTTTTAGGAAGGGGAACAGACAGGATCCCGAAGGACTTACAGAACCACCTGGAAGTATAGTTTTATTATTCATATTGACATCTAGGCTCAATACAATAATAATAGTGATATTTCACAGTGTGAGATAAAGTAGAAAGAGTAATAAGGGCTAACATTTATTTAAGGTTTGCAATGCACTTCCCAAATATTTTGTTTGATCCTCAAAGCAACCCTGGGAGGTAGGTGCTATCATTTTCCCCTATTACAGAGGAGGACACTGAGGCAGACAGAGATTAAGTGACCAGACACAGCTAGTACATGTCAGAGGCAGGATTTGAATTCAGGTATTCCTGAGAATCCATTGCTCCACCTAGCTGCATCCTATCATTTCGTGTCTCCCCAGGAAGTATACTCCTAGCATATTAAGTTAGGGAGTACTCCTGCTTACTCTTAGAGTAAGTAAGTACTCTTACTCTTACTAGACAAGGATACCTTCTCTAGCTCATTTTACTGATGAGGAAACTGAGGCAAACAGGATTACGTGACCTGCCCAGGGTCACACAGCTAATAAGTGTCTGAGGCCACATTTGAACTCAGGAAGAGGACACTTTCTGACTACAGGCCCAGGGCTCTATGCACTATGGCAACACCTAACTGTCCCTAGAAGAACAGTATGGAATTGGAGTCTCCTCTGCAGTATAGCTGATGGGTGGTTGCCTCGCCTTTAACTGAAGACCTCAAGTGAAGAGTTGCCCATGTCCTCCTAAGGCAGTCCCTGCCACTGGAGGATGGCTCTAATTGTAGGGTTTTCCCTGACTTTGAGCCTAAATCTGCATCCTCACAACTTGTACCCATCGTTCCTAGCTCAGCTGATAGCCCTTCCAAAACTTGCAGCAGAAGTGCTGTCTCCAGCTCAGTCTTCTCTCTCCTCATACTTCACAGCCCTCTTTTTTTTTTTTCATCCAGTCCTTCTATGCAATGCTTTCTAGGCTCTTCAGTACCTTAGTTGCCATTTTCTGAACACTCTCCAGTTTACTGATGCTCTTCCCCAAATGCACCACCCATAACTAGATATGATGTTCCAGATGTGTCCTCCCCAAGGCAAAATATGGCAGAACTATTATCTCCGAAGTTCTGGTTGGATACCGTGTCTTTAGGGCTCTTCATATAAACTGCCTTAGCTTTCTTAGCTGCTCTGTCACATCCTGCATTCATATACAGGGGTGTTCCACATATGGGGTGTTCCAGGAGGACTAGCTCCTCTGGTGGGAGGGCTTGCTGAGATCTTTGCAGGACTGCTCATCCACCTTTGGTGTCTACCTGGCACTTAGCTCTCACCCGTAGCTCCAAGAAGCAATAGCAAGAGTAGTGGCCACACCTCGGTAAACTCTCGGCAGGCAGGCTAAACCAGTTTGGAAGTAACCAACAGGGCGCAAACCTGTTGGTGAGTTAGGGGATGTCTGCCCTCAAAACACAAAGACTTCCCCCAGAGGAATGGGCAGACGAGAACAATTTGTTCCCAAGGCCACGAAAGTGGCCAAAGTAGGCTCTGTGGAGGGCTTAGAGCTTGATCGGACATCAAGATGCCAAGGTCATCCACCACATCTTGGGGCCATCACCAGTCATCCTGACTTTTGTCTCGTCACTGGACTTGGATGATTCTGGAAGAGAGACTAAGGCTGATGACTTTGTGGGACTCTGCCTCACTTAAATCCAATTCACACACGAGTCAAGACATTACCCTATGATATCATTAATCCTCTTCACAAGCAACAACAGCAGTCCATGAACATTCCCAGATCTTTTTCAGACAGATTCCTGCCTGGCTAAACCTTTCCCATCTTATGCCTGTGGACTTAATTTATGAACCCAAGCATAAAGAATTTAAATTTATCTCAATTAAATTTCAACTTATTAGATTTATCTTAAAATTCTAACCTATTGATAACTTTTTTTGGGTCGTGGTTCAGTATTCCAACATGTTAGTTCTCCCTCCTAGCTCTGTCCAAGTCATGAAAGGGCCAAGGCCAAGAACAGATCCCTGGAGGTTCAGGGAAAAATAAATGATTTGCTCAAAGTCATATGGGTAGCAATTATCAGAAGCAGAATTTGAATCTGGGACCACTGACTCTAGAGGCAAGCTCATTTCTACTGTATAGCAATGTTACCTCCCTTAAAAAAATTAGATAACTGCTAGGATATGGTACCTAACAATCTAAACTAGAAGACACGAAACATAGCAATATATGTGGTGTAGTGGTTATGGCATTGAGGTTAAAATCAGGAGGCCTGGGTTCCAGTCCTTGCTCTGACGCCAACTAGTCACATATCCTTGAACAAAGCACCACATGTCTCTGAGATGTCGATTCCTCATCCATAAAATGGGGATAATAATATTTACACTACTACTCTCACACGAGGAAAGCATTTTGCAAACTTTAAATGCTTTATTATGTATTTTGGTTATTATTATAGGTGACAAGAGTCACCTGCTAGTCTGTGTATGTCTTTGTAAATGTGCCCATAAGGGGCTAGAAAGCTCCTCTTCTTTGAAGAAAGGAATGTCCACTCACCGCTCTGTGATAGCTTCACCTCAGGAGGTGGAATTTCTGGCTGTGGTGTCCAAGATGTGAGAGGACAAGACAATTCTCAGAGGCATCCCACTGTACAGATGAAATACTGCTTGACTTGGGAGTCAGGACACCTGGATTTTCATCCTGCTTCTGGTCCCAAAGTAGTTGGGGACATCTAAGTCACTTCTCTTTGGGTTTCAGTTTCTTTATCCATAAGATGGGAGGATTGTCTCTAAAGTCCCTTCCGTGTTCTAGAATTCTATGATGCTAAGAACCTCATGTCATAGGAGTCTAGGAAGGCATTGGGAGGGGTGGATTCAGTGTGGGATTAAAAAGAGGAATATCTTCAGATGAATATTTGAGGAAGACGGGAGTGAGTAGAAGTCACTGCCAGGCAAGGACTACCAAATATCCAAATATCCCAGTAGGATTTTTGACAAGAGAAGGGAAGAGAAAGGACCTACTATGTGCCAGGCACTGTGCTTTGCAAATATTATCTCATCTAACATTGTACAAAGCAAAACAGGGTGGAGAAAATAATGATACATTGCATTGGCATCTTTCTTTTAATTTTTTTTGTTTCTTTTTTCTTTTCTTTTTTTTCAAAGTGTTTTTACACTCATTGTATCCTTAGAATCATCCTGCAGGGAAGGCAGTCAGTCAGTCAATGTCAGTCAGTCAACATTAAACACCTACTATGTGCCAGGCACTGTGCTAAGCCCTGGGGCTACAAAGAAAGATAAAAGTACTCGCTCTCAAGGAGCTCACAGACCAATGAGAG